AGTAAATTTTTCAGAACTTCCCTTTCTAAAAAAACTTGTGATTCTTATTTTCCTTCTTTGTTACCAGGAGACTGAGTGGAAGGAGAAACACTCTGCCACTGGCTGAAAACCCTCGTCTTTCTACTGCAGCTTCTGTTTTTTTTACGTAAAGAGAGGTTGAATTGTGGCGATTATATCAAATCAGATGTGGTTTCCGTGTCTTTTCAGTGTAGGTGTGGGCATCGTTAATACCTTGCATTTTTTGTCTACAAAGGCAGTTGGAAGGCTGATGGCCCTGGAGAGAGTCATGTCTCTAGAGCTAATTCATGGCAGCCAGACGTTTTATGTGTGCCTATGCAGCGGGTTTTGTTTTATTACTGGGTCTGTATTTTATAACCTTGTTTTTTAACATGTTGATTTTTCCCACCCTAAATGCTTTATCTGAAAGGTTATAGGGATTAAAAAACAGTCATGAGACCCACTCGAGCATAACAGAAAACACTAGTGGGAGAGAGTAGTGCCGGCAGCCTCACGTGCTGATTTCCAGACGGCAGGGTGAGGCACTGTGGTTTTGAGTGGTAGAGCCCTCCCCGTGTACCCTTAAGTTTTTAAAATAAAGGCCGGTCCAGGACACCCTCAGCCCGCCACTCCTCTTTTACTCCTCAGTGTTTCTTTTGAAAAAGAAGCCTGTAATCATACCAAACAAATTCCAGATTTATGGCACATTTTACTTAGGATGATCATAGTCTCTCCTTCAGATTGTGAGTTTATGTCTGAAGGAAAAAATATCAGGCTAATGATCGGATTGCCGCTCCTGCCTCCTCTGATACAGTTTTATTTTACACAAAAACGTATACACAGAGCTGACAGTTCACGCACCCATCCACCACCTTCCACCATCCACCTTCTAACCAATTTTTTCTGCTAAAGTGGCAGAAAGAGATAGGCACCCGTGGGCTGCTAATAAACACATGCGTGTGTGCCAACACACACACACACACACTCTCTCTCTCTCTCTCTCTCTCTCTCTCTCTCTCTCTCTCTCTCTCCCTGTCCCCCTCCCCCCCCCCAGCCACCTTCTGTTTCTTTCCCTTTACTTTGTCTTCACCCTGTCCTAGCCAGATGGATTTCTGTGCAGACACTTCTACCCTTCGCAGTTTTGAGTAAGGTGGTATTGCTTCACCGTGGCTTTTCTGCACTTACGCACCGTGTGTGTGTGTGTGTGTGTGTGTGTGTGTGTGTGTGTGTGTGTGTGTGTGTGAGAGATGAAGGTCTGGAAACCTGGAATATGGAATGCCTCTGAGCTCCTACAGGGGGGGCGGACGGTGTTTAGGTATTTATAGGTTGGTGGATGCCATTAGTGGCATTGTGACTCCCTTTCTGGTTCAAGCTTTTGGATTTCTCACCTTTGCACAGGCTGGAGGCTTGTAATGCTGTGCTATAATTATTGGTTAGATTCATGAACCACACCGTTCTTACTTTAAAGTAATTCTTCTGACTGAAATACATATTGTTACACCTTTCTGTCTGTCTTATTTAATTGGAAATGAATCGAGGCTAGGTGTGATGTTGTTTTGGGTGATGGTATTAAGGAATTTGAGAAGACTCTTCTAAATTCTAGCTCTTCACTTATAAGATCCGGAGACTGTCTAGATTTAACAGTGTTAGAGGTGTTGTCATTTACCTCAGGCCACATAGCTAAGAAGTAAGGAAAATAGGTTTGAACCCTGGTCTCTGCTGTCACTGGGCATCTAGATGTAACCAAGTTAATATCCTCCCGAAACTGTAATTTCCATTCCTTGAACTTACTTTCTGCTTCCATTTTTATGCTTTTCAAACTGTTCTTTTTCTTGGAATCTCTTGCTAACTTTCCCTCTCCAGCTGCTGCCTGATGACACCCACAGGCTTTGACCTCTAGAGAAACACCGGGGACTGTAGGGGCTGCTCCCTCATGCTATAGATGAAAAGGTTGAGGCCCAGAGAAGCAGAAGTGATCTGGAGTCACACAGCATAAGAGTCTTACAGCCAGGGTTTGAGCTTGGTGTTCTTACTCCTTCCCTGTGGATTCTTCCATGGTCCCCTTATTTCCTCTTCAAGTCTTCTTGTACCCATAAATCTTAGGAGAAGGGGCAGACTCTAGAGCAAGGAAGTGGGCTTGAGTTCTAATTCTGCCACCTAGGAAAGTTATCACCGTGGGCAGATTACTTAATATTTTTGTGCCTTGGTCTCTGCATCTAGTAAATGGTGTAATAATAGTATCTACCACATAGGGTTGCTCTGAGGAGTACGTGAACTGTTACTTGGAAAGCACAGAGAACAGAGCCTAGCACATCACAAGTATTATATAAGTGTGTTAGGTAAGATAACATAGACAGCATGCCTCTGAGTTCTGAGGGTTGCAGTGAAGAACCCCAGGGGTTGCAGAGCCGGGAGTGGGGTGCCTGTCACGAAGGTTCTTCTTAGCGGTCACCTCCTTTGTGAAGTCTTCCTGCTCTTACCTGTGAAATGTCCTGCTTCTCTCCTACCAGTTGCGCTGTGTGTTTCCAGAGAACTTCTTTTGCAGTTCTCTGCAACTTGTTTGATTCTGCCTTACAGACTGTAAACCTCTGGAGGGTTGAAACGGAGGGCTGAGACTCTCGCCTTTGTAATCACAGTGCCCTGGGCTTGGTGCATATCTAGCTGTTGGATGTTATAGAACAGAGTTTTTTGTTTGTTTGTTTTGTTTTGTTTTTTTACCTTTTAAAAACATTTATTTGAGGAAGAGAGAGAGCATGCACAAGCAGGGCATGGGGTGTGCAGAGGGAGAGAGAGACGCGGGGCTCCACCCCAGGGCCCTGGGATCGTGACTTGAGCCAAAGGCAGATGCTTAACTGACTGAGCCACCCAGGCACCCCATTATAAAACAATGTAAAAGAAACACTTTTCTGCCAGAAAAATCTCCAAATCTACTACCTGAATCAGTTGACTTGTTTCTATTGACGTTGTTTTATATAATTAGGCTGGCTGCCCTTCAAAAGAAGAATAAGATTTTTTTCCTAATTTCATTTCATATGTTAAATATATTAAACATATGTATTGAATTGAAATACATATGTGGGTATACACACAGGCATGTGCGGGCACACACACATGCACCAGGCAGGGGATGCTCCCTTTTCTTACAGCCTTCTTAGAAAGAATTCAACTCTGAAAGCAGGAGGTTGTATGGGGTGGAGTTACCTGTTTATGTGGAAGCTGATCTCAGTGGTTAATAAACCTGTTCTTCTTGCTCAGTAGTCTTACTGGCCTGTCATTTGAGTATTGGGCTCCTTGCAGGCAGGGACAGAACTCTTGCATCATGACATAATAGGCCACGTCCTTTGGCATCAGAGTTGAATTTGAATAATGGATTCTGCTTCAAATATCTGTGTAACCTTGGGCACATTACTTCATGAAGTCTCAGTTTTGTCATCTGTAACATGAGGACAATACATACCTCATAAATTTGTTGTATAGAGAAAATGACATGTTGGGTGCCTGATATATAGTAGATACTTGGTCAGTAAATACTTGCAGCCCCCCTAAAGTTACACAACAGTGAGAGATTTCTTTTGTCACCAGGGTAAAGGGTTTAAGGAGGCCCCTGGAGAGTTGTATGCGGAAAATCAATTTACTTATTATTCTCATTGTTCACACGGAAAAACAATTACTGTTTTCTCTTTCAAAGGCAGCAGAAAGCTTAGTTTGTTCTGTCCACGTCTGAAGCCTCTCCTGGCCTGTGGCCACAGTATGGAAGGTGAGATCTGTGGACCTGGAGAGGGCGTCCTCAGCCTCACTCCCACCGTGGACAAGCAGTCTCTGCGTGCAAGGGGGTGCAAGGAAACTGCGGGTGCAGGGGCCTGCGGTGATTCAAGCAAAGCACAAGGTGGCATCACTCACGCAGCAGAAACACCCGACTCCATTTTCCTTTCTGTTTTTCTCATCAGAGAGATTTTTTGGAAGAATGATGATGATGTTAGGAGCGTACTTCTAGCCAGTTGAGATCAGCGTTGAGAAGTTGAGGGAAAACAGTGTGTTTCAGTGACTGTATTCTGCATGTTGTACATACTTAATTCTGTGAGGCTGAAAATCCCACAGAGACTGATTTCTCCAGGAAGGTCTTACTCGCATTAACAGTGTGGATTTTACTCAAGTGGAGCTCTCTGGGGTGGCGTGTATCTGGCAGCTTGTGAGTTCTGCCCATTTGTACGGTGGGCACTGATCTCTGGCATGCTTGCTCTCCCTGAACCGGGCTTCTCACCACAGCATCGCATCATCCCTGTGTGAACCAGGTGATGTTGTTGATGTTATTACATTACAGGAAAGAACGTGTATCTGACAGCTGAAGTCATTTTTGTGGTAGGCCTTGAATTGCTAATAATAGTGAAATAAAATCAAGTAGTTTTGTGCTTTTCAAAATGTTTCATCATTTGATAGATTGCATGGTGGTGATAATAGGGCAGTGCTGGGGAATCTCTATAATTCCTCCGATATTAACCAGTCCGCATGGCTTTCTCCCTGTTGGGTTTCCAGATCTAGCTCAATTCAGTTGCATCAGACTTGGTAGGCCTGACAAGGTCCTTGAGCTTTCATTCTTTCCTCTGTTCAAGTTGAACAGCCATGATTCAGTACATCCTGAGATCCTCAGAGACTGTTCAGCTATAGGGGATACATTGGGGTACAGAGTTGTTTGCTAGTAGTAAGGGGATGAATTCATAGTTGTAAATAACAGTTCACAGAAAGAACTAGAAATAAGTGTAAAGTTTAGATTGCTGTCAGAGCAGAGGAAGGAGGGGTTTCTTTTAGGAAGAACTGTGTATTGTGTAAGAAGAGCGAAGAGGACCCACTAGTGTCCTCCTCCCGGCGGGGGGGCTCTGAGACCGTCCTCCTCCCGGCGGGGGGGGCTCTGAGACCATCCTCCTCCCGGGGGGGGGCTCTGAGACCGTCCTCCTTCCAGTGGTAGGACTCTCAGACTGTTTTTGTGCTCCATGTGTTTTGTTTAGGTCACGACTGCTGTGAGACTGTGAAGGTGCTACTCTGTGCTTCCAAGGAGGGCCTCCCCATATTCGTGGTGGCTGAAGAAGACTTCCAGTTCATCCAGGATGAGGCATACGATGCAGCCCAGTTCCTGGCGACCAGTGCTGGGAATCAGCAGGCTCTGAACTTCACCCGTTTTCTTGACCGGTCGGGACCCCCGGCTGGGGATGTGAATACCCTTGATGAGAAGGTTGCTCTGGCATTCAGACACCTGAAGCTGCCAGCAGAGTGGAATGTGTTGGGAACAGATCAGACTTTGCATGGTAAGCACTTAAATGACCCACAGACGGACTGAGTTTGGAATACTTAGGTTTTCAGAGGGGCTGCTTCTATTGTCCTCAGACCTTACACAGTGGCTGGATAAATCTTGCAGTTACCGGAGCACAGTGGCCTTATGGCTTCTCTTCTCAGTTCTTCAGCTGAGCTGTTAAACCTGTTCTTGCAGTGAAATGCCCCAGGCCGGAGCTTGCTGTGGCTGATTTCATTTCCCACTTATAGCAGAGGGCAGCACACACATCACCTGCTGCAGGTCCCGAGTTCTGGCTTGTTCTCCCAGGCGTAGAAAGTGACCTATCCTTCATAAGCACAGTAGCAGAGTAACTTTTTGTCATCCTTTTGGTATTTAATTATCAGACAGGGCTTTCATTATTGTATTCTGAAGTTTTCAAGAGACTCTATGGAGTTGGAGGAAAGAAAAGATGGGGGATTGAGGCAGGGGGAGCACGAGAGCTGCCTGGGCTCTGAGAAACCCCACGCTGCTTTAACCAGAGCAATTTCACTCATTTCATCTACTGGCTCTCTGTATAAGAGCTCACTGAAGGAAGAGCTCCACTTAAAAAAAAAAAAAAAAAAAACACTGGTGTAGTAACTCTGTATGTTCCTCTTACTCAGGGGTTTTCCTACATAATCATTCCTGTAGCAGATGGGTATCTACTAAATGTCATGGTTTTATGGCTGTATTTAAATGAAAGAGTATATGCTTGGGGTCCAATAAATAACACCCTCTTTCCCTCCTGAGTTCAAATCAAACGAAAAGGTTTAGGAGTTACACAGATGGAGGTCCGAATGTTTGCTTTGCTGCTGATGACAGCTCGTTGGGCTACTGATGCTGCATCCGCTGGGAGGGTTTGCTCCTCTTCCTGCTTTATCCCTGGAAGAGCCAGAGAGTCACAGGACTGCCCTTCCTCGGCCACTCAGCTCTGATTATTGTATTCCGTAGGGAGAGTGGGCCAGAAGTCACCCTCTCTGCCCATGAGCAGATCCTGAGCAGGAACACCCAGAGGGGACTGGGTCAGGGGCATGCTCAGTGCCTGCTCTCACAGATTTCCTCCCATGGAAGAATGCTAAAGAGGTATTAGCCAGCTTTGGTTTTCTTAAATCCTGTGACCCTATGATCAGCTGTAGGAATGGTGTCCCTTATCATCAGGGGCTGGCTGCAGCAAACTACTGGAACAGTCCTGCCTCAGTAAAATAAAAAATAAAGTGTGAACTCTGAAATCCAGTCAAGGAAAAAAGGATTTATCCTTTTTTCTTCCTAATTAATATAGTGACCAAGGAACCCCTGCACTGCTAAGATCTCAAGATCAAAATACTTGCCATCATATAGGGCATGAGTACCTTTTCAGAAACCTCATGTTGAGGCTTTGTACCTCTACCCCCTACTGTTCTGTATTGGTATGGCAGCCTTAACTCTGGCTGCCATTTACAAAATAGTGTCAAGATAGGATTGCATTAGTTATTTATGAGGCTTATGGTATTTTTATGGTTTTGTTTTTGTCTTATTGAAAGAAGGCATAGGAGTTGGATTGTTTGTTCATATTACCACAGTTAAAGAGAACTGTTAGAAAAAGCACAGGTCTGAAACTTTGGGCCTGTCACTTCCCCTCTCTGGGCCTTAGCTTCCCTGTCTTTCACAGGGAACTGGCCAGCTTTGATATTTTTGTGGACTTGCCATGTGCTTCTTCAGTTTCTGTTGTACAGAATTGCTCAACCGGTACTAGCAAAAGCTAAATGAAGTTTGAATAGTTGGGGAAGTGCATTAAAACCACAGTAAGGTACCATTACCCACCTATTAGAAGGGTAAAATAAAAAATACCAGGGGCTGGTAAGGCCACAGACCAATGTCTCACATATTGCTAGTGGAGTGCAGAATAATACACTCTACAGACAGTTTGGCAGTTTCTTATAAGGTTAAGTGTACGTCTGCCATATGACCCAGCAGTTCCACATTTGGCTGTTTATTCTAGAGAAATGAAAACTTCTATTTTCTCAGAAAATCTTTGCACACATATGCCAACAGCAGCGTTATTTGTAATCACTCAAAACTGCAACCAACCCAGATCTTTCTCATTGGGTGAATATATAAACCAATAGTGATAATATCCATACAGTGGGACACTACTCATCATTAAAAAGCGGGGGTATAAAATTTAAAAATAATAAAGAGGACAAATTATTGGGGGTCCACATGCAACAACCTGGATGCATTTTGCTAAGTAAAACAAGTCCATTTCTAAAGGTTACTTAGTGTATGATTCTACTTATATGACAGTCTAAAAAGGGCAAAATTATAGGAACAGAAAATAGATGAGTAGTTGCCAGGGACTAGGAGTGGGGATGAGGTCTGACTGCAGAGGGCTGTCATGAGGGAGTTTTTTGGTTGTTGGAATGGTTTTATGTCTTGGTGGTAGTGGTTATAAGAATCTATGCATGTGTTCAAACTCAGGACTAAACGCCCCACACAGGTGAATTTTATTGTACATGAATTACAAATAAAAGAACAAAAAGAAATTGAACAAGTTAGGTATATATACTTTGCAAGGTGAAATGCATGCATGGAACTCGATAGCCCTCCTTTAAGTCAACAACTGGAATCAGAAACCTGATTTCAAGTGCCAGATTCGCCTTCTGCAGTGTCAGTTGTTCCATTAATTGTGGATTAGAATCTACACCACTGGGTACTTTAAAGGCAGCATAGCATCAGTTAAGAGGTGCTTGCTGCTGAGGGACAAATGTAAAGGAATATTCTGCTCACATCAGTGAGTTGCAAAGGTACTTAAAGGAAGAAGGTATGAAGCAGGCTTGTTGCCTGGGATAATGAGACCGGTAAACAGGGCACCCTGTTACATAACAGGACTAGTTGCTTTTGAAAGCTAGGATGTTTACAGTTGTCCCAGCCTAATGTTTGCACAAAGGGGTCATATAAGATTTGTGGTTAATCCTCCCACTCTTTGTTTAGATGCCGGGCTTTTTTTTTTTTTAAATTTTATTTATTTGACAGAGAGAGAGAGTGAGAGAAGGAACACAAGTCGGGGGAGTGGGAGAGGGAGAAGCAGGCTTCCCGCTTTGCAGGGAGCCCGATGCAGGGCTCGATCCCAGGACCCCGGGACCATGACCTGAGCCGAAGGCAGACGCTTAACGACTGAGCCACCCAGGCGCCCCAAGATGCAGTGCTTTTTAACTTTTTTCAAATCAGTGACTCCTTTGAAAGTAGCTTAGATTTCTCCTCAGGAAGAAGTGCATCTAGGTGCCTACCTGAAACAGTTTACATATTACTTCAGGGCTTGTTGGTCTCCCTGGACAGCAGGCATGAACATGATGTTGAGAACTCTTGGTTTAGATTTGATACCATAATATGGGAAGGGCACAGGCAGTGGGTTCCACTTGTTTATAGGCTGGCTTCATTGCAAGAGTTTGTGCCAAGTACTTCATCTCTGTTTCCCAGTTTCTTTATTTGTGAAATGGAGGAAGACCTATTGGGAGAATGTGTATTGGTGTGTAAGCTCTTTGTTTTGAATATACCTTGACCACTGTCCAGTAACCTATTAGAGATGGAACACTGTTGAGTTCTGTGAGGGACAGTAACATGTCCTGTAGAAGGCTGTCACAGGACAGCACTAGAAAGAACGGTGCTTTGAAGCAGAATGAGACTGTTTTTCTTTTGCTTTTACTTATCGCTAGAAAGTTACTCTTCACTTTAAGCCACGAGTTTGTCCATCTAGTCCTTCCATCCCTAGTTACATAAAACAGCTTCTGTGCTGTACTTTTGGCCTTAGTTCTGCTTTAAATATAAGTAATAAGGATGCGTCTGGGTGGAGGGTGCGTGGTGGGGTCAAGGAGATCTTCCCTGTGAGTGGCCAAGCCTCACTTCCTTGTCTCTGCTCCTCAGAGGGGCTCGTGAAACCCTGAGAGGGTTTTCACCTGAAGGGACCTTGTAGGGTAGCAGGGCCGGCCCCCTGCGGCCTAGCTCTGAAGAAAGGGGAGGAAGAGAACGTCCTGGGGGAGATCTTCGTCCTAGTCACCGTGTTGTGTGACCGAATGAAAAGATCTTATCGTCTTTGGGGGTGGAAAGGATTAGGGAAGGAGAAATTTGGGTGGAGAGAAGGATTAGACAGGTTTAAAAAAGATTGCACCGAAAACGGCCAGGGCATTGTCCGTGCTGTGGGCTCATGTCGGTCACTAGAACCTCAGCCCCAGTTGTCTGGTGTTTTAGCCCCTCTCCCTTGGCTACACTCACTAGTGTTTGCGTCTTTTCAGCTGTCATAGCTGCTAAAAAGTAAAATAATAAAATGTAAAAAGACCACTGGGAATTTTTTTCTTGGCAGAGGATTAGTATCTGTTGACTCCAGGACAAGCAAGTCCTCGTCATGGCAGGACTTCAGCTCCAGAAGGTTTTGTTGCCTCTCAAACTATGATTCTCGGACCAGGCTACAGCTGTCGTTTTATACAAGCCCGTTGCTCACGCCGGCCCACCGTTCTCCTTCCCCGTGGACTATGAGAGTTACCGCGTCATGTGGGACTGCGGCTTTGTCTAGGAGGCAGTACAGAACAGGAGGAGGAATGGTGACTTTGGAATCTTATAGATACGGAACTCAGTACTGTGAGCAGGGCATTTAGGTGGATTGATGGGGAAGGAAAAATATATATAGTCTTTTTTTTTTTTAAAGATTTTATTTATGTATTTGAGAGAGAGAATGAGTTAGAGAGCGAGAGCATGAGAGGGGGGAGGGTCTGAGGGAGAAGCAGACTCACTGCTGAGCAGGGAGCCCGATGCGGGACTCGATCCCGGGACTCCAGGATCATGACCTGAGCCGAAGGCAGTCGCTTAACCAACTGAGCCACCCAGGCACCCTATATATAGTCTTTGATTGCTATATTGTTCACAGAATTTAGAACATTTTGCTTCATCAGAAAATCTGACACTGAAAAAGTCGCTGCCATCTAGCATACTCATCGTGGTTGAATGCCTGTTAGGCACATCAGGTTTCTCTGCAGATTGGAGGGAATGGGTGTGGGAGGTGCTTCCAGCATATACGTGGATTGCAAGTGGGACTTAAGACATTTTCTGCTACCTTCTCTATGGGTAGAAGCCAGGCCTCCAAAGTGATTTTTCCAATTAAGCATGGTTAAATGGGAAAGCCAGCCAACCAGCACATGGCCTGTGAAATAAATTACAGCCTAAAGGAAACGGGAAAGTATCATGAGTATTCACATGGAACACTCCCCGAGTATAATTTTCTTTAAGAAACCAAAGAAAAATTTAGAAGAGAGTTCCCATTTGTCCTTTAAAAGCTCAGAGAGGGCAGACCTGTTATGAAATTAGAAAAGAAAGCAACCAGGAGAAAACTAAGTTTAGGAAGTATCTACTTAATAATGCCGGAAGCCCCTCAGTCAGGGTTCAACCAGAGAATCAGAACCAGCAGGAGAAATATACATTAAGATTTATTGCAGGGCATGGTTTACATGATTGTGGGGACTGGTTAAGCAAGTCCAAGATTCTAGGGCGGGAATAGAGGAGAAGATCCTGGGCAAGCTCAAACCCACTGAATTGAGGGGTGCCTGGGTGGCTCAGTCATTAAGCGTCTGCCTTCAGCTCAGGTCATGATCCCAGGGTTCTGGGATCGAGCCCCACATCGGGCTCCCTGCTCGGCGGGAAGCCTGCTTCTCCCTCTCCCGCTCCCCCTGCCTGTTCCCTCTCTCACTGTGTCTCTTTCTGTCAAATAAATAAATAAAATCTTAAAAACAACAACAACAACAAAAACCTACTGAATTGAGCCAAAGCTGTCATCCTCAATCAGGAAAGGGAGATCCGGAGCAGGATGGAGCCCCAAGAGCACAGGCTCAGGGCCTCCTCCAGGGGAAACCTCAGCCCTGCTTTTAAAGCCTTCCAGCTGATTCAGTTAGACCTAGCCAGATTATCCGGGATAATCTTCCTTATTAAATCAACTGATGAGGGGCTTTAATTACATCTGCAAAAAGCCATCACAGTGAGGGCAAAGATGGAAAAGGAGTTGCTTGAAATGATGCAGGGACATCCAGAATCCCATAGCATAATTAAATTCAAACTGGGGACAAAGGACTCAATTGACATCACAGGAAATGCAGTTAGTGATCTGAAGAACGAAGTTGAGTAACTCTCAGAATACAGAGGGAAAAGACAAAGGATCATGAAAGGAAAAAATACAGAATATAGAGACCAGAGAACAGAAATTGGTCCTGAATTGTAGGTGTGCCGGAGTTTACACTGAGACAAAAGGAATAAAAACGGTAACAAAGGATAAGTTGGGTAAAAATTTTTATTTATTGGAGGAAAACGTGAAAAGGTGCTTTGTAAATCCCAACATTAGCTCACTTGCCTGATGGCTTAGTTTTTATAAAAAGAGGGTGGAGTTAATGGAGAGGGTATGGTCTCTAGACTTGACAGAAGAATTTTCGAATCTTGCTGATTCTTGTTGTGGGTAAGTTATTAACCTGTCTTTGTCTGCAGACTGAGGATAATGAGACCTCATAGGGTTATTGTGAGCGTGAAAAGCGTTAATACAAAATACATAGCCCAGAGCATAGCATCTCGCAGGTCCTGACCACGCATTACACTTTTGTCCTCTGTTGATTGCAGAAAGGGGGCAACCTATAAGTACATGTGGCACCTGCTGCTTAGGACCTTAGAATCAGATCCGGGGTGGGTACGGGTGCTGGAACTAGGGTGCCAGCGTCGAGCAGGTGCATGGCCTTGTTGTTGGAACTCGTAAATACAGAGCTGACTCAGCAAATCAGGCATCGGAAAGGGTGAGGCTGTAGAGAAAACTGCTTTGAGGAGGTGTCACTTAGTAACACTGGAATTGACCAGTCTCTAAAAACTCACATAGTTCCTGGTCGGTGCCTTATTAGTTCTTTGGTTTTGATAAGGACGTCAGAGTGCTTGTGAACAACTGTAAGGCACAAGTCAGGTGGTGATACTTGATCTTCTGGTGAGGGTTCTTTTTGCCCTTTTGTCTGGCCCTGCCACCTGCTCTGAGGTGTTGCTTATTACAGTTTGTACCTGCAGTGGTTTCTTCTGGGGTGTTGATCTCTTTCCAGCCACGTGCCTCGTGAATTGGTGTGCGTAGTTCTGTAGGAAAAATGTAAAATACGAAAGATAGCTTTTGCATCACAGTAGGGAGACTAGACTGATTGGAAAGCAGTGAGGTTCAGTGTAAAATCACAGGTTCACAGATGGATTCATTCTTCACTGCTAGTCACGTGAGAAGCATGGAGGAGTTATGTGTAAGGAGAAAACAGTGGGGTCCAAGAAGTCTGGGAACGCCCAGGGAAGGAGTTGAGACCTATGGAAGCCATGGAGAATGAGGGAAGGAGGCAGGCACAGCTCCTGGGCGCCATTCCCATGGCAGTGTCTGAGTAGCGCCCTTTGGAGGTGAGTCCTGCCCGGTCCATGTACCACAACCCTGCCGTTGGCTGTAGCCCTGTCATCGCAGGTTGGGCACAGGAGAGGCCCTGAGGAAGAGAGAGGTTGTTAGTGAACCGGGAACTTGAAGTCCAAGACAAGAGGAGAGAGCCGGGAGCAGGAAGGAACCTGGCATTGAGTGAGGATCTTGGGCAGCTGGTCTTTATCCCCGTGTTCGCCTGCCTCCGCCCTTCTGTTGCAGCCACCCTGGGTGTGAGGTGCAGGTGCCCCACCTAAGGGATGAAGAAATGAAACTCAGAGAAGTAAGAATGGATCAGGCCTGGTCTCAGGTGGTAAATGGCCACATCCAAGCTCAGATTTGTCTGACTCCCGAGCCCTTCCTTGTTCCACCACTTGACTCGCTGTACCAAGGAGGGGCCTTCCCCTCAAGTGAAATAAGCCCAAGTACATGTTTTTCTTACTGAACTTACTAGTATATTATCTTAAAATTAGTCTTTCTTACTATGCCTGGAGATGCATTTCTTTCTTTCATTAAGCAAAACAAAAAAAGCTGGCAGTGTCTGCAATTTGATTTGCCCTTAATGTGGGGAAATAAAAAGACCTGTGTGTGCTTAACAAGCAGAACCTGTTCTTAGTGTTTGACTAGCCAACTCCTGTCTGGGTGTTATTTTTTCTTTAATTATACCTTTTATGATACACCCATCTAAGCCCCAACAACTGTTCCCTGTGGGTCCCCACGTTGTGAGGCTGCATTCCCCCCTCTCCTAGTTTAAGGAAAAGAACATGTGTGTGAATTCACCCTTATAAATCTGCCTGTGTAAAATGAATTGCACAAATGTGTTAAATCAGAATACAGAATGGCGTGGTTCTCTTCGGAGACTTGACTTCTCGAACTGTGTTCCAGCTTTGTTCTGTCTTTGCGCGGGCGCCGGTTGTAGCCCGCCACAGTCAGACTGTTTATGTCGTGGTTTAACTTTAGGATCTTAGGTACTTGGAGGCGGCAGTGCAGTGCTCACATAACTTGTTTTTCTGTTTGTTTGTTTGTTGTTTTCACGTTCTCCATACTAATTCTCTCTGCCATGTACAGATGGCGGCCCCCGAGAGACATTGATGCATTTTGCCGTGCGGCTGGGGCTGCTGAGGTTGACGTGGTTCCTGTTGCAGAAGCCAGGTGGCCGAGGGGCTCTCAGCATCCACAACCAGGAAGGAGCGACACCTGTGAGCTTGGCCTTGGAGCGGGGTTATCACAAGCTGCACCAGCTTCTGACGGAGTAAGTGCTCCTTCTCCCTGTTTCCTTCCCCTCACCCCTGGCCCCACCCCCTGATTCATAGCAGCACCACCCACTTGGCATCTCTGAGTGAGTTTGCCAGGAGTTAAAGCCTCAGCTCTGTGCCTTGCCTTCTGCTGGAGGCTTGTAAGCCTGCTCCTGCTAACCACTTCATTGTCTGAGAGACACAAACGTAAGTCATGTAACCAGCTTCTCTCCCTGCCTCACTGCTTCTTGCCTCTTAATATTTTACTGAAAACTCAGAGTAGGTCTTGTCTGTGGGGGTAGTATTCCATTACCACGTATGTAGTTTATCCCGGTTTGGTACAAGAAAAAAGTTTTTCTCTGCCATACATTTTTTTCTATTATGTCTTCAAGACTTAAGTTGATTAGAAACAAATATTTTAATGTAATAATTGCGTGCAGAAAATATGCTGAACCACTGGGTTTTGGTCTGAATATAATTTCTATGAATAAAATCAAGAGCCACGGTCTCTTCATATGAGTAGCAGGAGAAAGCAAAGGAGTTGTCCTGGGAACGGGCAGTAGGAAATCCTGTGTGTCTGCACGCGTTCAGTTGTGAGGCATTCTGACTCCAATTAGAGAGGCCTTTGAAGGAAGGTTGTTAGAACATTTGAAGAGTCCTTTTTTCTTGTATAAATAGAGAAAGAAATGCATTACAACAGCCGACCTTTTTCACTGGAATATTTATAAAAGGTGGAAACTTCAGTTGTAGTGTCTCTAGTTTAATACATAGTTTTTATTGTTTTATGGTCACCACATCTTTTCAGCCACATAATCAGAAGAATAAACTCTATGGGATTCATGTTCTTCAGTAATCGAGGGACCCTCATAAGTTAAGTGGATATTCCCAAATTCTCTGATCTTTTACTCCTGTTAGACTTAATTTAGTTGCTTTTTATCTTTTATCATTTGTGGCTGTGTGTGGGGAGTGGGTGGGGAGTCTGGATGGGCCAGGAAGAGATTTCAGAATGTAATGTTACCTGCTGTTACTTAAACAGGTCGTTTGTTTGTTGTTTACTTCACCTGTCTAGTTTATAACTTTTCTAGTCAAGTCAGAAGGTTCTTTTCAGCCACTTTCTAATGGGTGCTTCGGATACCATGACAGTAGGAGGGGCGCTCTTCATCTCAAATGAGCTCTGGATACTTGAGCCTCTCCTGTGACTGTATTCCAGGGAGTGATCTGTTCCATTCCTTCGTACTTCCCATATGGCCAGTGATTAGATTCCTTCTGCTGTTCGCCTCAGGGCCTTAGGACGAGAAGCCTTGTTCCAGAAGTTGAAACAATTAACTCTGTATAACTGTGGTGCAGTTGGAGAGCAGTTCCTCTAAATGTAATCTTGTAGCTCAGAGTTTTTGCTGGGAAGCAGAGTTGGTTAAGGATTGCCATCCAAATGGGGAAATAAAGTGATTACAACAGCTTTATTATATGCTCGGTGAGGATGTCACAAGACCTATTGCAGAGCAGCTTTAAGGAAATAAGCGTGTTTGTTCTTGGAGAAGATTTTTTGGCTTTATAGTATGAGCTGTGTTCCATGTGCAAAAGCCACTTACCTCCTTTTGAAGGGAAAGCCAACTTGAGAAATCTTCAAATAGAGGACCGCAGTAGGATGTTAAAATTAGCAAGTAAAAAATGGTAAGGGGGTGATTTTACTAAATCGCTTGGTCTTACTGTGATGTTAGTAGACTTTGCTAGAATTTCAACCATAGAGTCAGGAAAGATCATCATTAACGGATGAGGAGGAAAGTGAGATCCAGAGAGGCAATGACAAGGTGACTGGGTCAGAACCAGAAGCCAGATCGCCTAAGAAGCTGTTCAGAGCTCCTTCCACTCCCAGGACTTCATGGGGTCTGCGGCCTTTACAATTATAGGCAAAAGTTTATGCACATGTGTTTCTGAGCGAGGAGTTTGTGTGGTTTGTGAAAAGCTACGAATTGTTCCACTGTGTGACGCCATCTGATACTTCACTAAAATCTTTAGACTTGGGTGTTCTTACCTCTCCCCTTATTTAAATTATATTTTTCCATATAGGCCCATTTCGTTTTATTCTCTCTTTTCAGTTAGTATGAAATTGAGGTAGGGTTACATACATTTTTACCTTTACAAAATAACTATTTGCATGCCAGTCTTAACTGAAAATTCAAGTTTATTTAAATCCTTTTATATATCTCCCAAAGTAAATTTGTTGTTTTCATTCCTTGCAGCTTACCCTGGTTTTTTGGATTTTTTTTACTTTTTAGAGGCAGGAGAGGAAGACATTGTGCCAGTTAGGGTTCAAGTTCTGTTTGTGTTTATGTGTCCGAGGCTTGTTTTGATAAGTCCATTTTGATAAACGGAGTCACTTCTGTGTGAAAATCGATTCTGCTGTGCTTGGAAGTAGAAAGATCATCTAAATAAGACCATGTCTTCAGAGAACTCTTGAATTGATACAAAATCCGAGCAGATAGCAGTAATTCTTCAGGACGTTTTTGACAGCTTCCCTTTTTTGTAATCTGTTATTATTAACTTCCACTGAGTTCAGTGACAGCGAATGGAGAGATTTTGTTGACTCACTGCTCTTTTAGCTTATATTTTGATCTTGCGTTATGAATATGGATGTATTTGTGATCTGAAAATTTACCTTAGACAAAATGTTACCAGTCTTGCCTGAGAAGAAATCTTAGAACACTCAGGCCTACCCTTGCTTTTAGGTAGATGTACAATTGGCTCCCCCATTTGGAAGAGAAGTTAGTTGACTGTCCCCCTGCCTGCCGTCCCCTAATTAGTGATGGGTAGAAGAGGGAAGGAACCTAAGTCTTGAGGCTCTTGGTTGAGCTCAGGCTAGGAGGTGACATTAGATGGGTGTTGCATTGGAGTCATCCAGAAAGAGATTGTGACAGCCAGGTGCTGTGGGACATCGCACACATAACACACAAGCCATTTGGGGACCTGGATCACTCATTTGGGGGAGGAAAAGAGCTGAGACCCAGAGGCAGTTCTAGGTAGTGGCTGAGTGTGCGGACTTTGGAGTCAAACCACAGTTTGCAGTTTGGCTTTGCCATTTGCAGCTGTGTTACTGTGGACACATTACATAACTTTATTCTCTAAGCCTCAGTTTCTATCTCCGCATAAAAAGAAACAAGGATAATACCTACCTTCTGAAATTATAACCAAGGGCCTGGCATGTGCACTGTGAAGAATCGGGTTATTTGTCGCACAGATGATGGTTATTGCTTGGAGCAGATACAGGGGCAATAGACAGCTTGAGGAGAGGGCAGTATGGTATAGTGGAACTGCTTAGGGACGAAGAGCTTAGTTAAAATCGAAGCTTCCAATGTAATATATGGTGATTAACATAACAATAAAAAAATTTAAAAAAAATCGAAGCTTCCCCACTTAGTAGCCTGTGTGAATTGGAAAAAAGTGGGTAGTCCTACCTGCCCATCCTGAGTTTCTCATCCCTTGGATGATACCTAGTTGGCCTATGTCACCAGGTTGTTAGAACCGAGTGAGATTTTTGCAGATACCTTGTTAGACTCTCAGGTGCGCTGTGTAAAAGTTTCTCGTGTAGTCGCGTAATCAGTAAGCTGATAGTTCACTGATCAGTGAAACTCAAATTCCAATTGATTGGTCTACCTAGAGTATCTTTTTTTGTGATATTTATTGTAGCTGTCTGAATTGAAGTTGGTAGAGAGATTGGCAGAATTTGTGTTGAGACAGGTGAGTCTTGAACCCAGGATCTACCTCTGTGAAGCTATGATCTTCGGTGATCTCCTTACCCTCCTGAAGCCCCAGCCCTGTTTGTAACATGGGAAAAACAAGAGGGCCATCTCCAGGGTGAGTTGCTTTGAGAAATAAATGAAGGAATGTACGTAGAGCATCAACGTGGTGACTGATATAAATGGTGTCCATTGTTGCCCTTTCCTTGATATCCCATTACTTCTAGAGCCATAACATTTTTCATATGTTAAAGAAATTTTGCCAAAATCTTAAAAGGATTTCCAGGCAGCGTGTGGTTGTCCCTGCTTTTGATAAGAGTTTGAAATCGTTCCCTAGTGTAATAGATACCACTTCTAAAAAAAATTAGTTTGGTTCTCTCTCCATGCTATGATGTGATGCCTCTGGGTGATGATACAGGGAGCTCCAGATGGACAAGGGGTCGCTGCCACCCTTACAGGAAGAGTATTCCTGTAGAGAATGTCAGCTCTGGAGTGTTGACACGAAAGTGTTGAAATATTTCATTTGCCCAGAGAGCAAGTTCCACGGTGTTCATCCTTGTGTCATTTTCTGTATTGGTTCAATAAATCTCTATATTTAATGAATGCCTGCAGTGCACTAGAAATCATGGTTTGGTACATTACAGCTAATATTTCACTTAGGACAATCTTTCTGAAGTCGGCCTTATTTGTGTTGTACAGATGAATTATGAAGGCTCAGAGAGCTAAGGTAACTAGCCCGAGGCTTTATAGAAAGCGGTAGAGC